AAGATATAAGCAAGCTAATGAAAGAAGGTGTTTTGCACTTAATAAATTTATGACAAGCACAAAGTTGTCAACATGGGAAGTATGTAGTACATTGTGGGTTTTCTTGGTTCAGGGATCTAGTAAGTTTTTTAAAAATTTTTGTAGTTGTAAATTAGCCAAACACAATTTCATATCCAAACTGTAGCATCTAATTAATATATTACTTGTTTTCCAGGTGATCATGTTGAAATTGGACAAATGATATTCATTGGGCCTAAGGTTTCCAGTCCAAACTGTTTTCTCAAAGCCTAAACTAGTTTGAGCTTATAAAAAAGTAATTTTTGCCTAAAGTTTTTTGGCAATTTCGGCTACTAATAAAGAGAGTTTTGGTTGGAAACCTTAATTGGGCCTGGATTATACTTGTTCTCACCATTTACTATCCCAGTTCTTGTAATCCCAATTTCTACCAACAATTTAGCACATGCGCCTAGGCTCATTAGGTCACTTTTTACGTTTGCTTTAAAAAGATTGAGCACTTCAAAAAATTTGTGATGGAAAGTCAGAGGCATTCTGTGGACCCTAGTTCTAAGTATGTAACTGGACTTTCCCCAGGTGGTAAAGATGTGAAATATTTGTAGAGCTTTTGTCAAATACGTCAAGAGTAGAAGAATTTTAATTGAAACAATCTTGTTTGCAAATAATATTTTAAGCTCCATCTTTTAAAAATAAAAAACCATTTTTACTTTTTATTGTTTTCTGGATATTAAAAATCATATTGATGTAAAAAGTATTGATGTTTTGTTCTTTGAAAGAAAAATAAATTAAATGTTAAATAAAAAGGATTCCGTGCAGAAACTCTTCTGATTTTCTCAAAATTGTTTCTAATCCATTCATAGGATTTTTGGAGGAATTAGTGGCCAATGAAAAGTTCAACAACTCACTTCTGATAATATTGTGTGCTCGTTGGACTCATAGTAGACCTAATGTAAATTGATTTTTTATATAGGTGAATTTTATATACCACTTAAAGATAACAAAACTCATAATAATAATAATAATCACAACAATAATTTTGATCCCTGACATCCTTGGTGATATAAATGTTCAGCATGTCCCATGTAACGTTATTATCATGAAACCCGTGATTTTGATGATATCATAGCCGTGAAAAATATGGAAAATAACGGGTAATAGTGGTAACAGTAAGTGGTTTCGTTTAAATTTTTATTGATGTTTTGTATTTTTATTATTATTTATTTCTTATATATATTTAATAACTAGTTTAAATTAGTGGAACAAAAATAATTAGTTATTTGTACCATAATAATAAAGTGTCTAGGTGGAAAGGATAATTGTAAATAAATTTGTTGATTGACGAGATTTGTACATAAAAATCTTGTCAATTAATCGACGAGTATAGCTAAAAAAGTTAACTCGAGCTCGGCTATAAAACGTAAAATAATCGATATTGACCAAAAAAGCTATCTTTGCAATATGTAATTCACGTCAAAATACTACACAGTAATCTCGATTTAGCGGATAGTTTGGGCAATTAGGGAAAATTTTCCAAAAATCCGTTAAACCGAGATATCCACTATCGAGAAGGTTTTTATTAAGGTTTATTATGGAACCGTTCTTTGAACTTTATCCGTAAAACCGAGATTTTTAATTAGTATCCGCTAAATCGAGATTCACTGTGTATCTTTAATAATCTTTAACCAATCCCAAAAGGCCGGACCAATACGAAATAAAATTAAATTAATGTTACATTTTTAATTAATAGTAAAATTTAATGTTTTATTTGTTAAATTGAATTTGATTTTTCTATATATTGTATTATTAATATTATTCCCTTTATTTAATTTCTAATTTGAGTTGAAGTTGGTTTTATTTACCTTTAGATACATGCTTAATAACAGCTCGATTTCATATCACAATTATGATAATAATTTTCAGATTGCTGATGGATGATTCATCAAGTATAATATCAAATAATACACAAATTTGGTGTCATCTCGTCATCTCACGTCAACATTTAATGTAAATATTGTACCGGGTAAGTCCCTTTGTTTACAATCAACAAATATCTATTTTAGGATCCTTGAATTCGTAAACATATTATTTTGTAAATAGTAATTTATATACAAGTACAAATTTGGTTTGGCCCGTACCTGATTCGGATCAATCCGAATTTGTATGACCCGTTCGAATCCTTGGTGGCTATACTAGGGCCCTCATTCAACGGCTGACATTGTTATTGCTGGGGCATCAAGATTGCTCTCAACTTCTCATTCCACTTTACCACCAACCTATACACATATACAAACCATTAACACCAGTCGATATATACTGGACAACACTTCTTTAACACGCCCTCAATATCGAAAAGATCCAATGAGGGTCTTTCCTAGTCAGGGAGATTTAACAATGCAATAAATAATTAATTTTGCCGCTTGTTAATATGATGTCAATTTTGCTGATTAGCTCATCTATGAAACGAAATATTGAGCGAGTCTGTGTCAACGATAAGATTAATGCGGAGAATTTTCACACATGTTGAAAAAATTGCCAATTGTATTGGATAATTACATGTACTACTATCATATTTCTATCAAGTTTAAACTAGATTTTCCTATACAATAGGATAAACAATCATAGATCAAGTCTTTAAATAAGCAATTAAGAAAATATATATATATAGCTTTCATAATCTGATTGACTTTGTATTTATCGTATTGGAGACACGTCTCAGATATCATCTATTACTAGATATCCTGAATGTGTTCAACAATAGCATATTCAATTAAATCTTTTCCATATCAGAAAACAAGAAACATTTGAAGTCATTGCACTATCAGAATTGTAAATTATTTATAAATTATTTATAAATTAAATCTAATAAAAATTAAAATGACATTAAACATTTATATATATTATGGTAAATAATCTATTTAATGTGTTTGTGTGTATGTATGTGTATATATTACATATATATTATAATATAATTTTTTTTAATTTTAAAAATGGAAAATGATAATTGTAAATATTAAAAATTAATGATTAAATTTTTTAAAAAGAAGAGAAATTACTTAATAATTTAAAAGTTAACTGGCTCATCATGGCTCGATTGCTGTGTATTCTTCGTTTTCTTCAAAAACAGATCCAAGTGCACTCATGTTACTTAGAGAATTAAAACTCGAAAAACTTGATACTCGCGACATAGCATCAGGGGAACGTATTGGTCCTGATATTGAAGGGGTTCCATTATTTATATTATGCATATGATTATAAAATACCCATCCCTCTGAACCACGTCGATATAAATCTGTTCTTAACACATCATGATGTGGCCCCTCACTTATGCTAGCGCTTCTAGTCAATCGTTTGTCAACATAACCAACAATTACTGATGGTGTTATAAAACATGGGCTGACATTAGTATTCATAAAAGTTATAGTTATTCGAAAGTTATGTGTAATTTCAAGATTCGGCGAGTGAATGTCCGGTGAAAGTTCAGAAATTAATACATTTGGAAGTGTAAGAGTTAAATGATGATCTTGAGTTATGGAAGGTAATGCAGTTGTGAAATCAATCATTGAGGCAGGTTTTGTGTAAGTAGTAAATGATTTTTCTATAGTTTTACTTGTTGTTGTTGACTTTATCCTATTAATTATATATATATATTAATTAATTATAAAAATCAATAAAAATCAATAACAGCGAGTGTTGTTATATGTAAAATGAATTTTAATTACATACACGTATTTTGATATTTGAGAAATTTCCAAACTAACAGTTTTAATTCTTGCTATCTCTCTCATTACTGTAAGTCTTGCACGAACAACAATGTCGTTAGCACTGCCATTATGTAATGATGATGTGTCTAGAGATAATAAAATCATTTTAGGAACTTCAATATCATATTTAATTTTCCCTTCGAGCATTCCTTGATATCTTTTTTGACCATTAAGCATTGATCTAGGTCTGACCACCTTCAGAACATAATCTACTTTTTCTTGTGAGAGCTTTCCCAACAATGAAGCCGGAGTTATTATAGCTGTCAATTTATACCTTATATAACCATGTGACTCATTAATTGTTGGAGGTGCATCAGCTGGTAATTCAAAGTTAAATGGAAACTCGACAACACCTTTTAGTTCTTTCTTTTTAGAGTCTTCGAAAAGAGATATTGTTTGTTTAACTATAGACGCACTGCTTCTAGTTATAGGTGTGTCGAAGAATTGAAGACTGTGTGTTCCCGATCCATCATTATTTTTCCTTGTTAAACTTGTTTGAGCCGCTGATTCATTGCTAAAACTTACTATACATTTGCCTTGAAAAGTGATAATAACTGACTTGACTTTAACTGGTTTATTTAAAACAATTCTTAATACACCTGTGACTCGGTGCTTAGTCGCAACACTACTAGGCAAGGTGAGGACAGGTGTAGCAGGAATAATATCGATGGCAACAAAAGGTTCTTTCATGGACGGGTTTAGTAAAGTTCTCAAAAAATAATAATAATAAAATAATAATAAAAGAATTATTGAAATCGTTAATGAAAGAATGAATATTAAGTGAGAGAATTTATTTGTTTTATGATTGCCAATGGCGGTGGGAACCGCGAAGATGAAAAGCGGCTAAAGTGAAAAACGAAACTTCTACTTTTTTTTTGCCAATTTAATGAAAAGAGAAATGATTGGCTAAATCCCAAAAATTCATTCACAATAAGTGATTTAAATAAATCAAGTTACCAATAAATTATTCGACCCAATTGTTTAAAATTGGTAAATATATGGGTACAAAAATTTGGTTTTTCTTTTTTCGGTATAATCACATAATATTTTTATTAATTCATTTGAATTCCAAAAAATATAAAGCAAAAACTAAGCATACGTCTGTTCTATCAGGTTTTTAAACCTGCCTGACACATGGATTTATAATAATAAGATTGTAGTACATAACCATCAAATTAAATAAAAAAAATCACATATTAAAAAATTCTATTACTAATCATTCGTTCAATCATCTCTTTCACGTCGTTCAGGTCCTCCTATTTTTTTATTAATGGATCCGCATGATAGTCCCTCGCCAATAACAATGTCCGGTTCTTCTACTACCACTCCACCAACAATAGGTCTTCTACCCGTACCTCCTTGTTTACTAGTGATCAACCATTTTTTATCAGTTTCTGTCAATTTACTAATTGGAATCAAGGATTCACCATTCCTATAATCAAAACAATCTTTAGGACCAAATCCCAATGCCCAACGAATCTAGTTAAATATAGCAGACACACATTACACATCATCATATATATGTTTAATTGTTTAATTGATTTTACACAATCTTTTGATTTCTTATTTACCTTCATTTTTGTTCTTATGTTGCTAAGTGCGCGAGCTGCTCCTGCGCGTGTATCCATTTTTATAAATGCATGATTTTTTTCATAATTAATCTAATATTTTTTTTAAACATCAAAAAATTCATTTAATTCATTTAATTCATTTATTCATTTATTGATTATCGTTGTTTTTTTTTTTTTTTAATATATTTAACATTACCGTAACAGTCGAGACAGGACCAAATTGGATAAACATTTCTTGCATAACATCTTTGGGCATTTCTTCTGAAACACTACCAACATAAAGTGTTCGACTTAAAACTATACATACAACATATGTTTTTAAAATAAATTAGAGAAAATTAAATATAAAGGATTAAAAAATTTTTTTATAAACATTTAAATTTATAAAGGCACATTCTTCATTACCTTTGATATATTCCATTCCAACAGTTGGATCCTCATATACAAGACATATATCTTGTGGTATTTGTGTTTGTTGTTGCTGTGGTAATGGCGACGATGACAATGATGATTGATGTACTATTGGTTGAGTAACTGGGGCAGCTGTTGTAACCGGAATAACAGCTGAAATTTGAGGGATTGGCTGAATTGGGGCAGATATTTGACCAGGTTGTTGTTGAGACGGATCGGTGCCAGCAGAACCAGTAGTATTAGTAGCGGTAGCACTAGTAACAGCAGCAGGTGGCGATGATGATGTTTGTACATTATGAGCTAGTTTAGATACCAACTGATGAGTGATTGAAGGTGTTAATGGATGACCAGGTATCATTGATGGAGCAGAATAACCTGGTGGTGGCACAAAAGGACCATTTGGTTGTTGTTCCATTGCAAATAGATAGTTATTATTAATATTAGCTAAAGAAGGATTCGTTGATAGTGGTGCAATATTTGTCGCATATGAAGTAATTAGCGGTTGTTGCTGAATTTGATGAGGTGGAATTGCATGCAGGTGAGAATGAGGAAGTTGACTAGAGTTGACAGGAAGGTTGTTATATGGAATTGTTACATTGGGTGTTGGATTAGATGATAGGAATGGTGGGATGTTTAAAGTTCCTTGCGCAAGATTATTCAAAGTGGCCAATAATGTTGAAGAATCCATTGTTGTTGGATTCATGTTATTAGGATCTATAAATGGTGATGGTGGTGATGATGATGATAATGATGATGATAGGGCAATGATAATGATAATGATTAATGATTATTATAGAAATAAAAGATTATAATAGAAAAATTTTTCAACCGTAGAAATAATTTTTTTATGTACATGGTTATCCCAAAAATACAAACAATAAATAAAATAATAAAATTGAGGTGTATATAATTTTTTTTTTTATATTATTTAACTGACCATTATTAGAAGAAGAAACATTTACTGATTTTATCTCATTAACCAATTGAGTGAGTGAAGTAGTTTGATTAAAATGGGTGTCTTTTATTCTTTGAATAGTTTCCTTATTATAAGTCTCTTTGTCATACCAAAGGTCAAGCACACGTTTCACTTTATCCTGTAAAAATTATTATATTTTATTTTATTATTTGTACGAGTATTTAATTAATTAATCATAAAGATCTCTCAAATAATTTTTTTTGATTTTCTCTTTAATAGGTATGATTACTTCACACTTGGAATGTAAATTGTAAACTTGGTTTCTTTAATGTTCTGAAGTTTTTTTTTTATAAATAATATCTGAATATACATCTACGATAATTAGTGTTTTTTCTTCTACATATTAATTAAAAGTTATGAATTATGAATCTTATCTTTAATAATGATAGTAATAAATTATCTATATTTTTCCAATGTTGACTAATTATAATTAGTGATAGTTCTCTCTTTCCCACTCAACAAATAAAGAAATTCTATAAAGTTCTATCTATCCTCTTAATAATAATATTATTATTATAGCCATAATCATCTTCTCTAAATCAATCTTTTTTTTTAAAAAAAAAAATCATAATAATCATAATAATAGATCCAGCAAAAATATAACGTCGAAATCATACCTTGTCATGTTCTGGACATTGCATTATATGTGTAAACGTTTCTTCTAACAATTTCTCAAATCTATCAAGATATTCGGCACCTGTCCATGAAGAAAAAGATGAAGAAGTTGTAGATGTAATTGATGAGATGTCCTCACTATTTTTTGTCTTTGCTGGTCCTTTTTGTTTTTGAGCCGTTTGCGATATTGAATCCAACACATATAATGCTCCCAATTTATAATCAGATGGGCATCTTTGAATAAACTTCTGTATACTGTGAACAATATTTTTGTATTGCTGTAAATTATAATATGAATTGTAAAAAAAATTTTTCTTTTTTTTTCGAACGAATATATTATATAATTGATTATTCTTAAAGAAGAATCTACTACTATGGTTGTTGTTGTTATGAATAATGATATTTTAAATACAGTTAAATAACATTGATTCTAAATTTTTAAATTTACGCCCAACTCTGATGAACGAACTCGAATTTCTCGGATAATATATTTTAATCTAAAAAAAATAAAATTTTCATACCTTTGGGCTATTCAAAGCTATCTTAGTTAGATCTTTTATTTTTGAGGCACTAGTCCCAGGTGGTTTTCTTTCAAGCAGTTCATTTAGTTTTTTATCAAATTCAGAAAACTCATTTACTGTCATTTTTGTCATTTTTGTCATTTTTAAGTTTGATAATTTAGTGTTTTTCATAAAAAAAATTTATTATATATAATGCATATTATTAATATTGTGATACAAGTTTAACGAAATATTAGAACTTTGCGGTCGTACAGGTCTTGAAAATCCTTCTGGTTTTTCTATGAGAATATATTAATATTCCAATTCCAAATTGTCTTGCACTCTGTCTGACCTACAAACTGCTCATGACATTTGGACATATTTTTGAGGTGTAACGTCCATCAATGTACACCTCTTTGCTAGTTCTTTTTCGAATTCTTTATTAAAACTAAGGGCATTTCCTTGGGATGGATGTTAAATTAAAACTCTGTATTAATATTTCAATGCACCAGGTGTTGACATCAAACGCCTTTTGTCAGTTGACATGTGATTTCAACCATAAAAGGTGCCAGTGACATTCTGCATAGAATAGAAGAACTTGATCAAATATCCAAAGGACATATTGAAGGTAATCAATCACAGCACTCATAAGCACTGGTAGCAGCAGAGGTTGGTGAATCTTTGAAAACTGCTTCAATGAAACTGTTTTTTTTTTAGCCACAACTCTCTTTTTGATCTTGCATATTTGAACTATGCAAGTGTATAACATTCATTATTAGACACAAATAATTCTTTCCTTCCTGGATCAAAGCCAACTATCCTTCTCCTTCTAGATTAACAAACTTATAACCAATATAGAGAGTCTATCAGTTTTCATGTAAAAAGCAAACAGTCTATTTCTGATGGTGACATCTTCAATATTTTCACTATCTTTTCCTTTGGTTTCTAAATTTGCCAATGTCCAATGTTCAATGTTCAACTTACTAATTGGCTAAACAATGAATATGAGGCATCTGTATCAATGGAAATATTGTTCAATATTCTAGAAAGGCAAATTCCTTGCTCTCAATTGTGTTCCTTGAAAGTGTCAATGATCTGTGATAGTCCTTGTATATAACTCTGCTGTTCTTTTTTTATCCAAGGACAAAAATTGGTGAATAGTCTATTCCGAGTTTTTTTTTGATAAAGATGCTTTGTTCAATTTGTAAGATAAAGGAGATAATCAAGATGTGCAATTAAAATAGTGAAGGGCTATTATTTTCTCTTGGATTTTTAATCATGTGGAGAAAATCTCTGTAGAATTTTTGGCTACATTGGATCTTAATGGATAAGATACTGTTTGTACAGTTTGTTTGACATATATTGTTTAGCCACACAGGTAAGCATCTGACACATGAGTTCAGAAATTGTCAAAGATTTTGATCTAATGTATCATGAACAAGTTGATCATTGGTTCCTTAGTTGCTTTAGGAATACCTGGTGTTTCTTTTGAGATACAGTGAACAGCTTCAAAGTACCTGCAGGTATATATATACATGGGCCTCTTCATGGGAATTAAATGGAAAAGGTTGACTTAGCCCAACATGATATTAATACAAAGCAGTTAAATTGGCCAATTTAAAGTCTTCATATTTATGTTTAAAGCTGTTTGTTGGATAGAAAATGTACCATCTTACAGAAAATTTTGGAAGCAAGTCTTCATATAGTACAGCTTGAGTCATCTAAACCTGACCACTATAAGCAAAGCCTGGCAAAATTTCAAATTTTAGAATATCATTTCTAATTAGAAAATAAATTTCTTAAATAGGGGATGGTCCTCTTCTTAACTATATCATCAAAGAAAAAGATTTTTAGCAAAGCCCTAGAAAAGTTTAAGAAAAAAGAGGGGGTGATTGGTCATGAAGGGTTAAAAAGCTAAATGAGCATGGTCAATGAAAATGAGATAGAATCGCCACTATTTGTCCTCAATGTAAAATCTATCTCCATTGAGATGTTAGTGTTTATGAAGACAGTAAAAATCATGTTTGCTCATGATGTACTAATTGTTAGAAAGAAATTAAAAAAGGTGAGCAAGATAAACACTTTACCTGAAAAGAAAATATTACTGCAAATTATGCTTGTGAAAGTTCAGGAAATGAAGAAGCTTGTCTTGGCTATGACAGTGTGATTCTTCACAAAAAGAATTTATATAATTGCTATGTATCAGACTTAGGAGGAGGAACTTTTTTTACTTTTGTTAATATCTGCCCAAATAGTAAGGCTCATTGTGTGATGTCAAGCAAAGAGCATTCGTAACATGTCTATCCAACAATGAAATGAATATTGCCAGTTCTTAAAGATACCATGAAAAAGGTAAACAAAGTTTATCATCCTGTGGACTTCTGATTTACTATACCAACTGGAAAACTTGCTGGACAAGATCCCCCTCATTTCATGGCTTGTATAGTTCCAAAATACAAAGAAAGTTATGGAAATGAATGTTGATCAAAATAATATAATAGAGCAACCCCTGAGCAAGTAGAAATAACCAAAAAAGTTTTGCAACCAAACCAGGATAATATTATTTCAGAAAGAAATAAGGTGACTGCAAAATTACACAATGAAATGTCTTTTGGATACACTACTATTGTGCCAAAACAAACTATTTCAAATGAAAAATTCTTATCATTGGAACCCTCAATTTGAACAGAATTTGGTGAAATATTACAAGAAATTATGCAGAAAATGGAGGAAGGAATTAATTTTATATTTCTCTGCAAATAGTAAAAGAAAATAAGTTAATCAATGAGAGAAAGAATTATGGAGAAACTTCACTGATGTAGATGAACTATATAGAAAAGGGAGTGAAAAAATATAATATTGTTTTTGTGCTGTTTCCTAAATTCAAACTGCAAAAATGATGAGACAAAAACTGTGGAGAAGGAAGACCACTTAATAAAGATGGTAAATTTGTTGGCACCATGGAGAATGAAAGGATTGCAGAAAAACTAAGAGATCCTAAGGCTTACTATAAAAAATGGAATAAAACTCCCTAAGCTCAATTAGAAAATCAACATAACAAGAGCAAACAAAAAAAAATGGTTGGTTGCAGAACACTTGCTTCTTTTCTGGTTATTTCAGTTATTAAGGTAATAAGGTTAGGAAAAATAAAAGTTGATTATGACATCTAACTCTTTTTTACTTAGTATAAAAATTATTCAATTACATTTTATGCTGGCTTGGGCAAGTAATATCTTTGTATTTATCTTTCACAAATGGACGAATATTATTATAAAGGTATTCTTGTCTTTTGTAATCCAAAGGGGGTGGTGTTAACACTAAAATAGATAAAGCTTCAATTTCTTCAAAAATATCACCTTTCTTGGTTTTAAATAAATTGAATTCAACAAAAGGTCCATTAACAATTTCCTGAGCTTTGACCACACCAAGATTAGTTGCTTCAAAAAGAAAATGTTGATATTTCTGTATACTTGGTAATTTCTTAAAATAAATTCCCAAAATAGCTTTAATATCTAAGTATTGAAAAACTTTTTCGCCTTCATAACATTGGGCTTTATTTAATCCAGCTGGATTAGACTTTTTTATCATTTCACATCAGGAAACTTTTCCTGCCATAAATTTACATAATATTATGGGGCCTGCCATAAACTTATGTAAATAGTGTAATATTATGCAAAAATTGCACAGAAATTACACAATTATTACATTCAGTGTAAATATTATGTCCTTTTTATGTGAAATATTACGTCATTTCATATTAAAACTTACAGAT